GAATAATAAAATTGCAGCTGACTTCTCTGGAGACAGGATGAGGTCCTGCCAGGCTTAGTATGATAAACCAAAATAGTATATCAGCAGCAGATGATTGCAACAGATGATTGAATAAGCACTATGTTTAATTTTTATGAAATAGCTTTTTTTTAATGTACAACTTGTCAAGAAATTAAATCTGACTCAGATGAATTCTAAAATGTGCTATATTTTCATCATGTATGTAGGGGACAATTTTATTTGCCAAAATAATCTCTATAGCAATAATATTATAAAACAGTAACAGAATGTATATACTCATTCAAATTCAGAAAAAAAATAATGTTGTGTAATGTAAGAAGAATGCAACAGAAATAAGGAGAGAAAGAGCAAAGAGAGAGTAGGAAGAGTTTTAAAATATTAGCCACTTTCCCTCCAGACCTTTTTACTCATACTACAAAGGCATTTAGATATCTATTCCCTGTGAAACTGCGGGAGTCTGGCTGCTAAAAATGGTGAGGCACCAACATACCTCAGTGGATATGTCTCCTGCACACAGCTGATGGGGTGTTATATATAAAACACAGCCCTGAAACAGAATGGGTGTTTTGACTCATCCTGTCAACACGCATTATAGATGGCAAGAATCGCACGCGTCCCTGTGGCTACTGCGTGCACAGCTGGGATTCCCCAGCCACAGAAGACATGTGAAACGCTCTGATCACACAGGGAGGGAGCTGGATCTGTCCTCTAGGCATATGACAACTGCTCACTCAGTGGACAAATAATCCATACATCTACAGCTTCGTACCAGCCATCCAACAGCTCCAGCCAGGTGTTCCCCAGGTCTTCTGGATGGGCTGCAGATACCCAGCCCCTTGAGGATGTCAGGGGCTTCCCCTTCCTCCTGAGCAAGCCTAAGAGTTTCTTTAATACACATCTGTCATCTGCCATAATCGTAGAACCGTAGAAGGGTTTGGGTTGGAAGGGACCTTAATTATCTCTCTAATTCAACGCTTCCCACCATGGGCATGGACAATTTCCACTCGGCCAGGTTCTCAAAGCCCCACCCAACTGGGCCTTGGACACTTCCAGGAATGGGCCATCCATGGCTTCTCTGGGCAACCTCCTCCAGTGCCTCCACAGTGAAGAATTTCTTCCTAATGACTTCTTCCATAATGCCTACTTAGGCTTTCATAGAAGCTGTGTTTACATGCCGTAAATAAAATAACAAGGCATTGCCTGCCCTCACAGAGCTGACACCACACACCCAGCTAGGGAGGCCTCACTGAGTGCATCTCAGGGATTTTGAAAACAAATATGCACTGCGGGCATTCCACTCCTGCCCACCCTCAGATTTCTGAAATATCAATATTCCCTGATTTTTTTTTTTTTTTGAGGGGGGTTGGCAGGGAATGAATTTGTTCAAGCCAAACTCATGCCATGGAGAGTGCTAAATGTTTAACAGCACACATGGTCATGCAATGTGCTTGAGACCAAGGCCAGACTCTCATCAGTTTACTTATAAACACATAGCAAAGTTGCTATAAATCTGCTCAAATATGTTAGGAAAGGAAGGAACTTTAGTCATGGACAAAAGACTAGGTCTAGAAAAATCACATTTGCTAGGAAAGACTTTTTTTAAAGTGTTAAAGTCATTTAACACCAGGACTCCAAGAACACATTATAAATTAGAACAAAAAAGAACAGATTTGTAATATCTTCCCTAGATGGAGCAAGCCAGATACAAAAAGTTTATTATTGGAGCAGATTTATGCACATAAACGCAGTGTCTCAGAATTGCATACTCAGTACACTCATGGCTGAAGGAAGATATTAACAAAATTTAGTGCAAGAATGAGCTGTGCCTTGTAAGAGGCAGTGTAATAAATTACTGGGACAATGCATCAGCTACAGTGGGATGGCTTTTGTTTTTGGAACACTTGAAAGCAACACAAGAGAGCTTTCAAAAAGCAAGACCTCGACCAAGGACTCTAAGACAAATGTAAGAGTTAGTGGGAAGGATCCTGAGTCATGTAAAAGATCACAGTTTTAGTGGTGCATGCAAGGCCACCCCAACAAGGAGAGGCAGGTCCATCTGGGTGCATACTTCAGGGTCAGTGCTTTCTCACCAGCATGTCCCAGGTGAACAGATAACCAGTCATGAATTTGCTGTCCATGGGAAGGTGCCTTATTTCAGGTTCTTGATAGACTTCAGTCATTCTTCTATGATTTATGAACACTTTGATTTTAAGAAATGCTCTTCCAGCTGAAGTATCTGATATATGGAATCCTGGAAAATATATTGCAGATTTTTCAAAATGCACAGGAGACAGCAGCAGGTCTGAGCATTAAAGACGCCATCGTTTTCCCTGCCTCCAAGCACTAAGCAGATGTCATGCCTCAGTTTGGAAGCAGCTGGATTGAAACAATCACTGATTTAGGGATTGCTGTTCAACCAGATATTTGCAATGTCTTTGGGACCTTCAGGGAGAAAAATGGAGTATAATTAACAACTATTATAAATAGCAATGGATTCGAAGAGGCTCACAGACTCTGCACAGTGTGTTCAGCATTCACAGAAATCTGTCTCTGCATTTGCTGTAAGAACAGAAGTCTGAGAATGGTTCCCCTTCCTTATAGTTCTTTTAAGAGCCCAGGTGCCCTGAAAAATTATGGGATTCTTTCCAGTCACTTCACAGAAATCTGAACAGGGTAGAAGAGGAATACCCTATCCAGACAGGATGAAAGAGGAATCAATCAGTTTTTACTACTTAGCATCATCCTGTGAAAGGTATTTGCATGGAAGGGATAAACCATCTGAACAATTTTCCTTATCAATTTCAAGTAAACAAAGCTAACATGGTTACAGAGAAACTATGCAATGTGCAGCATTCCAAGAAAGATTGGAAAGTTAAAAAAAGTAAGTTAAAGGAAAGACTCCTGTGACATATATGAAGACCAATTTTTTTAAAAGGGTTGTGCACTTTGGATGGAAGAGCAAAAGCTTAAACTCCATCCTCATTACCAGTTAATCACAGTAGAAAGTCTTCAATGTTGACTGGTACTCCCTTGGGAACTGTTATGATTTCAATATTCCATTGATAAATTAATTTCGCCAAGATGTTCCCAGGCTTTTGTACATTCTGTTTGTGGCTGCACTGATAACAAAGTCACATTCCTTAGCTCTAAAAATCCAAGAAATACATTGTGTTGTTTTGTGAGATTTGTCTGGTGTGCACTGGAGAGACAAGAAAGAGGACATGACACGACCTTTAGCATATAGCCTTCTGATTCTGAGGGCATCTTTTCATTGGTGTGTTGAAGAAGCCCACAGCTCCTTTCAGGATGTGTGGCTGCACAACCCACACCACAGGCATGACCACTTACTTTGATGATACATGGGAAAGAGGCATCTGAAGGATAGCATACCATGACCAGTGCTGCTGGGTGTTTAAATGGATACTAGCTGTATGAAACTCATCTCAGTAAAATACAGATTCCTTATTCCAACAGAACAGTCTACAAACACAGGCCCTAGCCTGCTTAAGTGCCTAAGACATCACTGCTGCCTGTTTCCTCTAAAATTCTTCAATGGAAACTCTTGCTCCTCTGCTGATCAGAGGTTTTGTTGTATTGGGTTGGTCCATGATCACCCATAGATCACATATATGTGGATGGTAGGTGAATGTTTCTGTCCTCCTCAAAGGGAAATCTGCAACCACTCTCACCTGTTGCTTCTTCACAGTACAAATGCTTGGTTCAAGTTTGGCCAAATCTGAAGCCCCCCATGATGAAGTTGGTTCTCTCCGTCACTTCCCAGGGTGCTGAACCTGTCCTTGCCAGTCTGCTCATGGAATAGGAACCTTCCTCTGCTTCCAAGTCTCATATCTCAAACCTCCTCCATCTCTATCACCCACTCCTGAACCTTTTCAGCTTCTGGCCATTCCTCCTTTGGTATGATGCAGGTTCAGCCTCTTACCTCTCTAGGGTCTCTGTACAGATCCTGTTAATCCTCCTGGATGCAGCTAAACCTGCTCACCTCCTCTGGCAGCTGCTTCAGGTGGCAAGTCAGCTCCTCAACCACAGTGTGTTTCTAGAAGGTAGGACACCATTATTCCCAGTCTCAGAAGCACCAGACACTCCCTATGGCCCAAGTCTTGGGTGGCCATATCCTCCCTCTGAACATCCCTGACTCTCCAGAGATAGTCCAGTTCATAAACTGGATAAACTATGTTCACTGTTGCTCAGCAACCACTTGCTTTCCTAAGCAGGTTTTGGGATACTTCTATACCCCATTTTGCACAAGGTGCTGGACCTGCTGATTTGAAAACCACGTTCCTCAATATGTGAGTCCTCAAGAAGTTCAACACAGGGAAATGACAAGAACTGCACCTGAGGAGGAATAACATCAGGCATCAGGGTGGAAACACTTATATGTCTGAGGCTTATATTAGTTGAAGGAGTACTTTCTATTTAAAAGAAAAAACCAAGCAAACTGAACAAAAAACCCAGGGGAAAAAATCCTGAATAAAGGCAATTGCAAGACTATTAATCATAGTAGATTAGATGGTCTGAAAAAAACTCCAAATGTCACATCCACATTCCTGATGATATTAAGCCCCAAAAAGATGTTCTCATGATAGTTACTGTGCCACAGATAACAAAGTGAGTCAGAAACTTGAAAGACATCCAGAAATGAATGGGGGGAGGCAGAAGAGTGTCCAAATAAAAAAAAAAATTAGATAAGGGTTAGTTTTCTCCCATAAGCTCATTAAATTGGATTTTGGCTGGTGTTGTATGACAGCAACTTGACAGCAGGGAAGGGGACAGTTTCAGTACATTTATCCTCAGTAATGCCCTTAGCTTGTTAGATTCTTGGAAAAAGCAAGACCAGGTCCCAGTTTTATAATGTATTTCATTTAACCTCTAACCCCCGAATTTAACTTCTTGGAAAATATTTTCCATTTCAGTGCTCTGATCAATGAATGGGATTTTTATTTTGTTTTTTTTCTTCCTAGGTTTGTTCCAAAGGATAGCAAACATTGCTGAATTTGAAGTTATCTCCTGGAGAACCCTCTGCAAGCCTTCTCTGAATCTGAGTGTATCAACCCCAATACAGTGGCTTTGTTTCTAACCCACTGAACAGACAAATAAATGGCTTTTACCCTCTCTCAGGTTAAATGGATACCTAGCAGTTTGCAGTGACTCTAAAAGGTGGTAATCAAATCTAAATATCCCCTTCTATTATTCTAACCAAAGCTGTGTTTCATCCTAATGGGGTCTAAAGTAACAGATTTATTATGCAAAATTCATTGTATTGCAGGAACAAAAAGGGCGATGATAAATTTAGAGCACTGTGGAATTTGGCCCTTGGTTGCTATTACTGACCTTTCACATGTAATGGAAATTGTCATTATGTCCCCATCACTGAATAGAATTTTTATCTGAACAACAATTATAGCAGTTTTGTATGGTTTTATTTAACAATTAATGTTAAGTATTCAGGCTCTTTTCTCTTTGTATCTATTAATTGCATAACTGGCCTATAGATCTATGCATTTCCTCTCTTTCCACTTTCGGAAGAAACTGGTTATTCTCTTTGACCTTAAATCCTCTAGCATTTCATCAGTACCCCTCTTGCTCCCTGCCAAGTGATCATCTCCAATTACAGCCCTGATTGCAGATTTTCAAAGGTCACAATAAGAAGCATTCAAGGGTAGAAAGACTGGCTGGCCAGCTCACTAAAACAGGGGGATAATACCTTCCCAAACAACATACAAATGTCACAAGGCAACCTATTAAATTAATCATATTTAAAAATCTATGGTGCAGTCTTATATGTCAACATAATTATGCCTAAAATATACTAAGTGACAGGCAGCTTAATCTCTGTGAATCTTTTCTGTTTATGTACTTGAATGGTGTCAAACACAATACTGGATCTCCCATTAGATCCTGACAGCCTACCACGATAAAAGAACCAAAACTTTTACAATGATGTTCTAATCTCACAGTAATGGTAAAAAAGCATAGTTCTTGCCCAGAAGTACTGGGAATCTTATCCCTCACTTCTTCAAAGTTTGCTTTTATTTTAGATAAAGATAATCCTGCTAAGAGATTTCAGAAGCCTGATTTCGTTACTCCTGTTATTCTAGTCATATATACCTGGTGACTTCCAAGACCACCATCAAATGTTTATGAGAATCCATCTTCAGAAAGACAGTGATGAATTATAAACAACATCTAATTTGACTTCACAGGAAGGAATGTCTCAGGTGCTAGAATTAGTGTCAAATCTAGGCAGCTCCAGATTTCATGGGAACTTCCAAAGAGAGGAAAAAAACAATTTAGCTGGTTAGCATCTAATATACTCAAATTTCCCAGAAGAAAAATTAATTTTGAACATTGGCAGAATGTAGTACATTTCCTGATCTTGGCATAAGGAAAATATTTTGAGATAAAATACTTGGGCCTCTGTTGACAGCTAACTATAGCAGAGCCACAAATCAGTCATGCTGGGATTCAGCTCATTTAGCTTTGAGTGGCTGCAATCGACACGTTGGCTGGTGTGAAAACACTAAGCTTTTTGCACACTTTGTAGTGAGGAAGTTGCACTTCAAGGACATGGGCTGTTTCCTACTCTCTTTCAGCTATCTACTCAAAGAGGCAACAAATTAAGCTTGCTTTTTTCCCTGACTCTGATCACTGGCACTCTGGCAAGTGACACTGGCAACTGGGTAACATGTATTGGCAGGCCCAGGAGAAGAGAGTGGGATATCTCCTCTAAAAGAGGCAACTCCAGTGATATCTTGGGTCCAGCTGTTAAAATAATTTTTGCAAAATAGCAGAGATGTGGCAGCTAAGACACTAAAACACAGATAAGAACTCAGGAAGCTAAGAGCAATTTCTTCTACTTAAAAGGTAAAACATGAAAAATACAACTTTTATTTTCAGACTATCTTCAAAGCACAGAACTCCAGTGCACTTCTATCAACTGTTAAAAACTGCTGACAAATCTGCAAAAAAGAATCTGAAGACTATTCACTGTAAATATCTACATATACAGGGAGATAGATGACGTATCTAATGCTTCTTCTGAAAATTATTTTATTTTCGTCTATTATTTAGAAGTGCTTACGGCCTTTAGAGAAAAGAAAACCTTGTAGCTGTCCTTACACATTTAATAAAGTCATGCATTTCTGTATTGTCATATTTCATGCCTTCTCTCCCTATCAATTTCCTACCAGTCACTATTCCCTCTTCTTTCCGTAAATGTAAAAAAGAATTTCAGGTACTGCAGTAGTAATTAAGTCATATGGATGACAGCAGGTTAGTGCACACACCCACATTCTACCCCAATTCATTTTACTGGTGCAGCTGCAACATCACCACCATAGCTGGAGAAAGACCAAGCAGTACAAGAGTACAGTTTATTATATGCCTATTCCTGTAGGTACCTGTGTTTTTCCTAGAGCAGCATTTTCCGACCAAGAAGTTCAACTTACAGATGCTGAAGTGGAAGCAGATGAAAAGCAGTCTTGTTCTCCAGCTGCCCATCCTGAACACACCTGTCAGTACAAGGCAAGCAAACACAGTAGGAGATACACCATAGACATTTAATTGCAAATAGTCCTAAATTGGGCACCCAAGATATAAAATGCATTCTTGAAAATAATTTTCAGTGATCTTTGATGGTAGAATTTTCATTAATCCAGATTGCAAGTAAAATTTTAGATGAGCACGGTGTCATTTTTTGCTGGCAGACACATAGTGCCAGTAAGTACAACTAGATAATGTCAAATAACAGAATAGCAATCAATACACAGATGCAAAAACAGAGAATGTGATGAGGAGTTTTTTACAATAGGTTGAAAGCAGGAACAATATGAAAAAGTCTAAGAACAAACACCGCTTTCACTGACTATAACATGTAGGGTAGACTGGGCAAATGTAGTTCTAATACTTTGATAGAAGTGCCACTAATTAACATTTTGTTGAAAGAAGGTATTTTCCCTACAAAACCTTGCAGGGGCTTCTCAATGTATAGATGGATTCATCAACTTCCATTAAATAAATTGTATAATTATGACAAAAAATGTTTGCTGACCCTTAAAAACTACATATTTCATTAGCTTGCCTTTCAGGCAAGCAGCCCAGAGGGGCAGCAGAAGTCATGTAGTTGCAGATAATGGAAAGAGACTGGAGTAACTAGGCAGAGACATGGCTAAATAGCTTTTAAATGAGATTGGAAGAGTGGGCAGGAGAGGGTGTAATAGAGGTCATCTCAGGGAGAATGCATAGCAGAGTGAGGTGCAGGAATGAGCAGCTCTTGCAAGTCTAGATAAAGACTTGGAAAGATGTTTCTCCCTCACTGGTTGGCTGGAAAGTAACTCAGAGAGTGTTGGTGTTGTGTATACACCATCAGTAAATATTCTCTCATTTTCCTCTCTCTTCCTGCTTTTTTACCCTACATGAAGCTGTGTGGAAAATAACTCAGAAAGTGTTGCTGTTGAGTACAAAAATGTGTAAGGACTGGTGAAACGATTAGCTATCTTACTGACATTCATGTTTTGTGAAGAGATGAGGGAACTTGAGGAAAATTACTGATGAACTTTGGGTTTGTGAACAGCAACACAATTGAGTGAGTAGCTCTTATAACACCAAACTGGAAGCAGCTACTGTTGCAGTGGAACTGTCATCAAAGCTCATGAAATTTTTAGCTGTAATTTGATTTGAAAGCAGAATTCTTGTTTTTAAATGTTCACAGAGTTTGGCAGTACTTCTTAAAACTTTAGTACTTGATATAAGAGTAAGAAATTGATGTGAAAATATTTAGTTGTTTATTTTAATTTTAGTTTTTAAACCTTGCACTGCAGACCCCAGGAATGTCTGCTATGGCTTTCTTTTTTCAGATCACGAAATGTGTAAGATGTGATGTTTGGTCCAGAAGATGCATTTATTTATGCTTGTTTTGGAACATTTAGACAATAACCATGAGAGAATATTCCCATATTTAGCCCATGATTAGGACCTCAAAAGAAAAGATAGCCTCTGAATGCCTCAAAACACAGGGAAGATGACACTCTTCCTGCTGGAATGTTTGATGATAAGCAAATCCAGCCCCACACTGTATGTATTACACAGTAATGGAGGATTGTAAATGCTGGGAGAAAATGTCACTGTGTCACTTTCAGGGTAATTGCTAGGGAGGAAGGCTGATTTCCTTCAAATGTGGAATCAGAGCTCTTTGATTAATGGATTGTCGAGTTCATTTTTATCTACCGAGATACCGATTCTCAGGTTAACTCTTCATTTTCTGTGTGCCCTTTCTTTCCTCCAAAGATATAACGATGGCAACGAAATCCCCCTTCTGCTTGCATAATTGGAAAGGATGAGAAGATTTGCTATCTTAAACAGCCCTACAAGTTTCTCATTTCTCCAAATACTACCCTCTGGGAGTAAAGGAAAACAGTTTCCAGAAAAGTAACAAAGTATTTAAAAGTAACTAAGTATTTCTCCTTACTGTTTCAAAGCCAGCATTTTTTATAGAACCATGGAATAGGCCCTGTACAAGGATGAAATAATCCCATAAAATTATTTACAAAAGTGACGTAGTTTTTGATACAACACTCATAGGTTCAGCATAAAGAGGATGGAACAAAAATGCTCAAAGACTGAATAAAAATATTGGGGATAAACTGAAACTCATTGATGTAATCTTCCAGTTTGATAAGCCCAAAGAGTATATAAGTAATTGACCATTGTATTCACCTTCTAGCTACATTAGTTTTAAACTTGCATCTGTTACCTTGAAAGGCTAAGACTTATTTTTTACCAGTGAAAAGAAAGCTGGAACACTGTCACATAACTTGAGTACACCAGCAGCTGCTACTTGTGTGAAAACACAATCAGTTTTGAAACCAAAATAAATGGAAAAAAAAAATCACAGATAGCATTAGAGCTGGCTTTCAGATAAGAACTCAGGGCTGAAGGTGTTGTCATCTTCTTGGACAACACTTAGGAGGCCTGACACAAATACAGTCCGTACACTCAAGTTGCTGCCAACTTTGAAAAATCATACCATTTTTGGTGTCCTGTCAGACCTTATCCGCAAATCCTCTACAAGGTCCAAAATTGACTAAATTTTCTAAATTACCAGTTCTTCTGTCCCATCAAGAAACTTTGGTTACTCATTCATGCTAATGAATACTGGGGATGCTGAATCAATGCTTGTCAGGGGCAGGCACAGCTCTGCTTCCACCTCTCCTGATGTGGAGACTGTAAGGGCAGGGAAGAGTCAATAGCCAACACTTTCCACAGGAGACGAAGAGGGAGCAAAATTAACCAAATGTTCAAGGACAGCTGTACTGTGAATTTTCTCTTAACTAAAGATTGTCACATTGGTCTGCTCAGAATTGCAGAGAAATAGAGAAGACAAAATATACTGCAGCAGTTAACCTAGACTGAGTTTTCCACTAATGAAGTCTCCCATGGGCTGAAAATGACACAAGATAACCAATCTGAAAGCCAGCATTACATTGACACAGATGGTGTGCATGTGCAAAGTTTGAAAAGAAAGATAAAGTACACAAACGAAAACCAGATCATATAAATAGGACATACATTAAATTTATGGGGACCAGACTGATGATTAAGGAGGTCACAGAGCTGAGCTATTTCCATGCAGAGCTGGAGCAGAAGACAGCTTCAGTTCTCCTTCACACCAGCCCAAAGAGCTGGAGTGTCCTAGAGAGGTGACTAAGTGCCATGTTTAGGAAAGAGGAGAAGAACAGCACATGCTTTCCTCTTTCTCAAAACATCTTTAAGAAAATTTATTGGCTTGAGAACTCCTTTGGGGGTTGATTATCCCTGTTCAAGAATTTATTATGAAAATAAGACTGAGATCTAAGGGAAGACTTTGGGATTTTCTCATTTAAAGAAGACTTTGCAATTCAGAGATGTCTTCAATGCTTACTAACCTAGCCAGGAGAAGCTATTTACAAACCTCTGTGTAAATTTATTCGTGTCCATGTCCCCAGACCCCTACAGAGCTCTCCTTTAGCCTTGGGGGGACATGAGAGTCTGGGGGCAAGATGCTGAAAATGAGTGGTTTAGGTCACTTTAAAATATCACTGGTGAGGTATCAGCAAAAACAGGTTTAATACAAATTTTAGGAAGTTCAGTGGCAATGTTCACTCTATTGCTTACTGTGTAGATAAAGCACACAAAGAAAACCAGATTAAAAGCAGTCTACAATGGTTTATGTGGAGACCAGACACAAAAAGGGTAAGGAAAGAAAAGAGTAAGACTCTCCCATTGAGTCACAAGGTTTAGAATAGACCCCCCTGCCAAGCTTAGTCTCAGACTGGATCAGCAGTTTAGGTCTAAAGGATTCAGCAACACTAAATCATAACAATATTCAATCCACACCATAACAGCAGCACTTAATCAATTAACTAATCTAACGCTCGCAAAATGATTCAATAGATTTTTCTATAAGTGTAACAGTAATTTGACCATAAATCTAACTTAACCATAAGTTTAACACAGTTTTTAATATTTAACTATAAATTCAATTATTAATCTAAAAATGCAACATTCTTAATGTGCACGCACACAGACATAAAGAAGCATGTACAAAGGTATACCTATGAAAAATTCCCCTTGAGTTCAGTGAAATTCTCATGTTGGAAGCCTTTGCATCTTCTCGATGGGCAGAGTTGATCCTCAGGGAGTGGAGACTTGGGCTCAGGCTTCATCACCACCTTTCAGCAGCAGTTGCCTGTATACAGCAAACTGGAGATTTGGTGAGCCCCAGGAGGAGTCCACTCAGAGTATGGTGCCCACAGCGATTCACGTTAAAGGGCCTCACTTAGCACCATTCTTTGTAGGGTCTCAAGATGCTGGGTTTTAGTTGTCAGTAAATTTCTATCCTGGCCACAATCCGGGTCAGTAATTACTGAGATTTTCCTCAAAAAGCTCAATAATAAAGTTATTTTACTCAACCTGTTGTTCAGACAGAAAAATAAAAAGTCACAAGGCTACTTATTAGAAAAGAAGCTCATTAGGCAAAAGAAGTTCTGGGAGCAGTGTTTCTGATAAGCTCAAAGGCAGGTAACTGCCCAGGTTTCATCAATTAATAAAAGCTGAGTCCTAACGAGCATTCTTGAGAACATAGTGTGGTTGGGAGGGGGGAGGTGTGATGGTTGCAACACACCATGAGGCTGTAGAAATGATATTATATTTCAGCTGCTGATCCAGGCAAAGTGAGATTTTTGACAGGAAAGTGTTTTGCCTAAATTACTCATTAAAAACTTATGGGAGGCAAACTCTTTCTGTAAAAATGTAAAAAGCAGAGCTGTGCTTTGTGGAGTTTGTACCAAAGTACAAACACATGTAAAGAACACATTATTAACAACAGAAAATCCTACTAAATCCCTCGAGGGAGTGTTGTTTCTTCACAGAGTGAAGAATATGCAGTGCCATCCCCACTCACACTACTGAATCTCAACCCCTCTTCGAGGCAGGTTGCAGAGAATGCTGAAGCCCAGTGGGTTTTGGAGGTTCTCAGCATCTGAACCCATAGAGGATATGCATCATGGACATGGAAGCAATTTCACCCAAGTCTGCCATGGCACAGAGCTGATGTGGCTTTGCTGCACAAAGCAGGTGTACAGAGCTGTGGGAAGGCCTTCCTCTTCTGCTGCTGGTGGGGCACTTGAGGGAATCATGAGAGGCCCATTCATATTTGGGGGTCATTTATATGCCTTAGGGAAAGGACTCCTGGCTTTTGGTGTTCCTCACTCAGCACATTGGCAATCAGATGTGATTCAGTCGTGAGAGACTGAACCATGTAAAGTGAACTCAAATTAGCCAAATCATGAGAGTGGTCTTTTTTTCCCCTAGAAAAGGATAGCATAACTGACCAGAGGGAAGGAGGAAATAACTGTCCTGCATTTTCTAACCCTGGGTACTGTGGTTCTTCCTTAGACATAGTGCACCCAACAAAGCACAAACCGGCAGCTACAGAGAATATTTTCAGCTGAGCAGACAATAGTAGAGTAACTCCATGGCTGGGCAGATAACTAGGCATCAGAAGACATCAGCTCAATTTTATATTTACAGAATATTTTCTGAGGGAGAAAAAAAAAAAAAAGCAAGACAATTTATAAAACATCCTTAGCTTTAAGTCATTTTGGGTTTTTTTGGAGGAGGTGGAATTTTGGTTGTTTTTTGTTTTTTCTTTTTTTCTCACATATTTTGTTTGCAAAATGTAACTAGATCATGAGATTTCTAAGCTTCCAACTACAGCTGTCTTGAATGGAAACTCATTATCATTAAATAAGGAAAATAAAAACAATAGATTTTAGAGCTGAAATTCAAAGGTCCTTTTATATATATTATATATATATATGTCTTCATGCATTGATAAACTGTGTGATGTTTTGATATACAGAATAATAATAGACTGACATTCCTGTTCTGTTGTTTTCATTGAATTTTGGGAAGCATTTCAAGAATTCTAGAGAAATTGGTGCACTTCTCTACTTCCCCTTTGCAATAGAGAGCAATAGGGAACAAACAGGGATAAACCTGTTTACACTGTGCTGGTGAAAGACAGCAAAGATTCCCTGATAATTTGTGGAAAATTGAAGAAACATTCCTTTAACTCTGAATTGAGTTTGTAGTGAGAAAAAATTCTGGAAAGAAAAAGATTCCTTCAAAGGATTTCATGAGGCAAGATCCCTTATTGGGACCACAGTTGCACCTCTGGAGAGCAGCATTTCAGCTGTGATGTATTAGACAAGTTGTTTACAGCCTTTTTCTGCCAGCATCTGAATTTTTTTCTTACCACTGCAGATTAATTTGATACAAAACCTGTATATGGCACCTCCAGCTACATGTAGAAGAGCATCAGCACTATGACCACTTCTGTTTCTGGGCCTTTCATTGCCTGGGGAGGAAATATCTTCCACCTGGAAATGGTAAGACACAGTGACAACCATACCCATGAGTCTGTGACAGGTTTCTTTTTGAGTGTCTTTCCTGGGACTTGCTGTTCCCTGTTCATTCCCAATATCTGTACACTACTTTTAGCATGGAGCAGATGCCTGCTCTCTGGAGGATCTAAAGAGAACCCACTGAATACCTGGTCTACTACAGCCATGAAAAGAGCTTTTTCTGATGCCTCAGAAAGTGTGTTTCAAAGCCATTGCTAGCAATGCACATCAAGGAAAAGCATGACTGGCTATCTAGTTTGAAAAAGCAGCCCTTGGGAGAGAGCAAAGTCAGCTTTAGAAAAGCAGTTCGGTGTGAGGTGAGCTCTAGAGACATTTTCTTTTTTTTTCCTTAAAAAACACTCACTCTAGTCTTTCTGCAGAAGCTTAATTCCATGAACAAACCCCACACATCTCCATTTTCTTCCTCTCCTCCCCAGTGCCTGACACTCCGTTTCCTGAAGCGCAGTAGAGGATGCAGAATACTAGTTGAAATAACTTCTCCTGGCTGATGTGGAAAGACAACACAGACTTCATCTGCAAAAGAGTTACAAAGGGCTGGATTCACTCAGATCTGCCTTATGGACCCTGCATTAAGCATCAGGTTGACAAGAAGGCCAAAGGATGATGCAGGTTAGCAGGGCACTGGTTGGGGCAGTCAGCAGAGAAGTGACAACAGAGCCACGAGCCTGTGAGCCAAGCCAGGCTGGGAACAGCAGGGCTTCAGTCTTGTTAGAGCCACACGGAGGGGGAATGGTCTCACAAGGGATGTCTGTCCCGGATTTGCCCTTTGGGATTCATGGTTATTTAGGAGTTAGCCAGTGGCTTCTGACACGATTGTCCAAGGAAGATTGGAGTAACCACATAAAAAATATTTTTGTCTAATTGGCAGCCTAATGATATTTTGTATGAGTCTGGAGCAATGTGGCTCATTGTGTGGGAGTCCAGACAGATATAATTCATGTTTTGTTCTGCCTGTGAGAGAAACCTTAAAAATTTGAGGAATTAATTCCCCTTTGAGCTGAAGGATAATTGGATAACAGAACCTGTCATTAAGATAATCACTGCAGATCTGCTGCCTGTGGCATTTCTGGACAATACCTTACAGAGCCTTCCTGCTTGGCAGTTCCTGAGAGCACCAATCTTTGGTCCCGAACCCTTCCCATCCTCTGCACAGGGAGACAAAGAACTCACGGGCCAACAGTGTTCAGCCTTCACAGTGGATGATTATTCTGTGGAGTCCTTCAAAGTCAAAGAAATGCTTTAATTTAGCTCATAGTTTGGAAGGTTAGCAGATGGGCTGAAAAATCTGATCGACAGTTTTCAAAAATAGATGTAATAACCTTAGAATGTGAGTTTTGGTTTGATACCCAAGGAAAATGGTCTTTGATTAGTGTAGCTGCTTGGAGCTGGCAAGTTCATACATGACTGGGGAAGCAGAGAAGAAGTGAAATCAGGCAAAATCCCTGATCTGGAGCCAGAAGATGTGGCTCTTATTGAGCCAAAGTGGCTGCAAAGAGAACTGTGAAAACATGTTTGGTGCCAAAAGAGCTCCACCACTGCCCTCTCCAGCTGCATCCATGGGCAATATGCTGACCCCTTGCCCTGTTTCCTGCCTGCCCTCACTGGGGGATAGGAAGGATGGGGAACGCTAGCCTTTAAATCAATCTAGTTTTCAGACTCATTACCTCTTTCTCCTCAACATTTTCATCTGCCTTAGAGTGATAAACTTATTCCTAAATAAAACTTACCAGCCCAGAAATGATTGATTACCTGAAATCAATCAAAATTACATTCAACCTGAAATTGCATTTGGTATTTTCAAGTAATGTGTATGTGTGACAGGTTAAATACAGAAAAAATATCAGAAAAACACAGTACAAAACAAAACGCATTTGCCAACATGCAATGTCAGTAAACCAACAGATCAATAAACATTTTCAGATTATGAAGAGGTGACCCTCCTCATGTGTTAATAAGTTCTATTTATCATCTAACATTTTCTACCTTTTTTTAAAAACATAATAAAACCCAGAATTCTATCAACTAGCATGTGGCCTGACAGTCTCAATGCCTGGATTTTAGGAAAAAAGCACACTAAACAGATTTGCCAGACTGGTTGGAATGGAATTGACTTGCATGATGCTTTCTGTGACATTGCATGACTTAGTGTAAAAACTTCCATTTATCCAGAGGTGTTCATATTTCCTGTCCTGTGAGATCAAGCAGCCTGGGATAGCAGCTCCTCTTCAGGGATGCTACTTCAAGGCTTGCAACTCTTCACATCACTTTGCTAAGTTTTCTAGTACGTGGAGTTTTTCAACCCTTCAACTACTGGAGCCGAAATTTTGAAGGAAGCTTCTGCCTGTCATTGAAGCTTACCTGAAATGAACAGCAATACATCAGATGAGTTTGACTTTCAAATTCTCTCAACTTGTGGTTTGAAGTAGACATGCCTTGTTCAGCTAAGTGCTTCACTTTATGCTGCCAGTATCAACTCACATTTGGCCATACTCTGCACCTTTCAAAGCCTGCAATATGCATCTACTCAGCTGATGCAACCTAGAGCTGGTTTCTAGACTCTTCAGACATTTTGTATAAATGGGATGTATGCAGCAGAGAGCTTATCAATATCTGTAGGAGAATTGGTGTAAGGTAAGAAAACTGGTTCTGGTTTTGTGGTGTTGGGGAGACTTAAATGGAGATTGCCCAGGCCCTGGGGAAAGGGAGGAAGAAGTGGGATATAATAAAAAGAAGTGACAAACTGATAATTGGATTTTGGTTAAGAAACTTAGGAGTTGAAAAGAGGGTATTAAAGGTGGATAAAGGCATCAGTAAACTGTGCTGCTGGAAGGAGGAACTGGTCAGACAGCAGATCTGTGATAGTTAGAATATTGGACTGAAAGCCAGAAAGAGCTGGGGAAGGAAAGGTGAGGTCCTTTGGAGACTCAAGGAGAATCCAAAAACTGAGAGAGGAGACTAATGGGGACTGACAAGGACAAAGCTTGAGGATAAGGCAAGTACTTGGGAATGAGTTAAGACCTAAAGAATTTTATTCTCAGCTGCTGTTTGCTGCTTCCTCATCTTTTGGGACAGCTCTAGGAAAACTTAATGACTTTACTGCTAGGAGAAAGACTGCTAGGTCTCCACAGACTGACCTGTCCAGTGCCCAGCTTAGCCTCTGCCTATCTGTGACAATGTTCCCATGTTCTCCAGCACTTCAGCAGACATATGAGGGGAAAAAGATGCAGGATGGTTCCTATCCCCCATCCTTTAATTTGATTGTAAGATTACTCAGAGAGAACCTGGCTAATATGGGATTTCTAGTGAGGCAGGATTAGGCTACTTAATGCAGTTATCCTTTCAGCCTGAGAGGAGGAGAAACTGCTGGAAAGGTGACTTACTAACAGCTCCCTCAACAGCACGACAAAGAAGCTACATTCAGGCCTTCTGAAAATCTCTCTAACCTTGCAACAGACCAAGTATTTCCCAGTTGTTTCCCATTTATTTCATCCATATGCTGCTAAGCATTTCAGGACAACAGCCAAGTTACAGAAGTGGCAGAGTTTGGGGGCTTGGATGTTTATTTTTTGATTCACTCACAATGTATTTTCCCTTTCTGTATTACTCAGGTATGTCCAAGAGCTACTTCTTTCTCTCAGATGCTTTTTTCCTTCATAATGTACAAAGCACTCCTGCTGTCCCTGCACCATGCTTTTAGAAGACAGATTTCCTCTCTTCTAAAGTGAGATCCACTAGAGGGGGCATTTATCCTACCTGATCTTGTTGATACTGAACGTCCCTGGAGTTTCCTTTGGCTTTTCAGACTCCTTCTTTCCTCCCTCTAGACTACCCACCCTACTCCACAGCTGGGTAAGGTCCTAATGGGGCCCTTTCACTGAAACCTTACCCTAAGTAAATGCTTCTGTGTGAACAAGTATTTACAAAAGCCAATACTTACATAGTGTTTATCATAATTGTTTTTAAGCTCTGCGGGAAAGACCATCTTTCATCCAGATGCTTCCCTACCCCTTTAACAAGACTAATATTGTGGAGGAAATATGTGACCTTCCTGCAAGGTTTTTGTTGTCATGTATTGATTCCACTGGTCTTTGAATATCAAGTTCAAAAACCACAAGTCCAACCAAATTATATATGAGATGAAAAAGCAGAGGACTGAGTTGCAGAATGGAGAAAAGGATTAGCATGTACCACAGTAATGTGTCTATCTTAAAGACCGAAGAAGACATTCAAACATGAGTGTCTTTTAAACTTTGAGGGATTGTGTCTGGCCACAAGACTGCCACAATACCTTTCAACTGTCCTTTTGTCACAGGCTGCAGCAACCTTCTATCTCCTGTTGCTGTGCAGAATAGTAGAGGAAAACTTTTATATGTGGCTTCCCACTTCAGTGCTCGAGGCTACTGCATCTTGTTGAGATGGAATTGTGGTGCATGGCTATTCAAAGCTTGAAACATTCCTCAGTTTAGAAAGTATCGTGTCAATGTAAAATAATATTACTGTTTCCCACCTCAATATAAAGTGTTCACCAAATGAAAGAGTTTGAAAGAAATACCAAACAGCAAAGGAATTTGTCTCTCCCCACATCCATCATGTTAAGTTAGAAACTCAGGAGGGCAATAAAAGAGAATTGAAAACAGAACTTACCTGTGGTCTGAGGTTTACCACATCCTGCAAGGCCAGGGAAGGATTGATCTACACAGAGTAGTCTAATGATTATTTGTCAAATTTAATTTCCATAATGGACATACCAGGACTAATGTTTTCCTGACAGATTATTCCACACTTTTGATAGATCATATTTTCCTATTGTTCAGACTCATTTTTCCTCTCTGCTTCTTCATTGTGCCTCAGGTGAAATTTCACCACAGCTCAAGAAAACTTTTGTTCCAGCTCTTTTACCTGAAAGTATTATGGAAATTTATCTTTAGTACATTTTTTCCTATAAACCTAACTTTGGAAAAAAACTAATTCTGTCCTGCACATATCCTAACCTAGGTCCTTCCACCAAGAATAACAGATGTCCAAAGTTTCTAGGAAAAGCACTTTAGTATAAACTGCAAGTTTAACATATTTGGAGCTCTCCAGTGCTAGACTTACTTGAATAAGTGTAAGCTGCCTGCACTGAGTGCTTTCCAAAGCATGGCAGCAAGGACTGGCCTCAGGGGTGCACGACAGAGCAGAAGGAGAGCTGAACGACTTCAGCTGATGGCTCCAGGTGTCCAAGCAACCACAACTCTTATTATGGTTTTCTGTGAAAGGAAAGAGCAAAATTACTCCAGATTAACCAAAGTTGAACTCCAACTCACATAGCAGAAGAAATAATAAGAAGAATAATTTATCTTATGTGTTGAGGTGCTGCCAGCAAACTACAGATTGGACCAGAAAATTTTGTTTTTTCTTTCCTGTACTGCTCACAGGTGAGAAGACTCTGACCACAATGGTGTGAACAGAAGCCAACAAGAGCAGTAAATATTCCCCTGGTACTGGTCACCAGGTCTCACTATGTTCCCAGTAGTGTTATCCCCCTCCAAACACAGTCAGACACACTGGATTTTACTCTCCTCCTCTGCTCCTTACTAAAACACAATAGGAAAATATCTGGTGTTAGAATATGAGACATTTGTTTAGCCTTTTAGCTCATATTGCATATTCAATTTCAATGAGCATCTGCACTGAGACATAGCTGAAGAGAACTTAAGAGACTGGCTTTTAAAACATATTTATATTGATAAATGTTTATATTGAATTTTCTGAAGAAATATGAAAGTACTACATGCAAGACATTGTATAGCACATGATGTTTTGAAACAAAATATATTCAAAATTAGTTTTCGAACAGCAGACAAAAAAACTCAGAATGTATGAGACTGGAGCACAAAATGTGATCAAAATCAAATGGCATTTGATAAATTGAATATACAAAATAAAATGAGATGTCATGGTCAAATGGGAGCAGTCATACTGTATGGAAGGAGGGAATACCAAATTGGAGATGATAAATACTGGTCTGAGTAAGTGGCACTGAAAACTGACATCATTCAGCAGGTCAAAAGAGTGGCATGAGCTAAGGCAAAGGACAGAAGGGAAGAAAATGCCCTCTGATGGATACAAAGGCACAAGTTTAACATGAAGCCCTATCAGGTATGCCATATCTAGAAACTATTAAGATACTGATGGAAAAAAAAATCTGACCTGAAAGCTGTGTATCTACCTCAGACTTCCAAAAGAGTTTTGCCTTTAAATCTTTTGAAAGGAAAAGTCTCAGAGAATGCATGCAAATGAAGCCTAAATGTGGTGAACTGAGACTATGATTTGCTACAAAAATTTGATCCAATCACAATGCACCAATGAACAATGAGCAGTTTGGTGACAAGATACTACCTCATTCACTTGATTCTGGTCAAAAGGCTTTTTGAAAATATTTTTCTAACATTACGAAGGATATATGGAATCTTACCTGAGAAAAAGGAACTGTATTAGCAGCTACAGAAAATACAGGAACAAAAGAAAAAAACTCTCTTGTGATTTCTTTGAATAATTGCAATCTTGTAGTCATGAAAGCAGCATTCCTATTTCTAAATAATAAAGTAGATGAGGAAAGTTTGGCACACTGCTGGCACAGCAATCAGTGCAGCCTGAGTCATACTTGTGTGCATTCTTTCTGCACTCACAGAGGATATTTTCTTGTTCACAAATTTTACCAAATCCCCCCTTTCTGAGCTGCAGCCACACATACATGAGGCCATTGCAGACAGACTTGACATCCATTTCTCTGCAGCCTGAGGTCAGCTTCCCATTGAATATGCCTGGGCTGCAGCTAGGAAATCCCCAGATCTCTTGGTTTGAACATTTGCATCAATGGGGGGCAAAAAAGATACAGGATTTCAAGATAAAATTTGTCAAAACTGACTATTGA